TACTTGCTTTTCCGTTGTGTGTTTGCAGAAAACTGGGCTGTTCTGCTCACTAACGGTATACATCTCTTGCTAGTACACAGATGTGTGTGTGCAGTAATTTAATACATAAACTAGAGCCGTGGGGTATTGTGTGTGTTTGGCTCTCTCTTATTTGGGTATTGTTGGGTGTTTTCTTTTTCTTTTCTGTAAAGGATACATATTATCATTACAAGCGGGATATTCCTTTTTCTTGCTTTACTGCGCAGTTACTGTTTCTATCTCTCTCTCTTTTTTTCACTATGAGTATTTTTGCCCTACATCCACTGACTTAGTGTCTCTCTTTTCTCTCTACTTCTTCGTTTTTGTTTTCAACATTCCAAGCATTAGACCTGTTGAGTTCAAGTGACGAGAACAACAAGAAGAAGAGTGATAATGGCCGTTATGATGATGATGATGATGATGATGATGCGCCGTGTGTCGTGTATTTTGGTTCTTTTATTTTGCTTTTCCTGCAGTCTAGTGTTGGCTGGTGATCCTGATTCTGAAGAGAGCGTTGACCTCCCTCCGGTTGGTGATGCTAAAGGAGTGGGTCAACCCGGTGATCCACTTGAGAAAACACAAGCAGAATTACAGAGACCGGATTTACAAGAAACAACTGGTGATCCTAAACATAGAGATGATAAAGAAGAGACGGAGGATAAAGGTGATAGTCCTGAAATAGAACAAGTGGCTGAACCAGCAATTACTCTGGGTGGTAAAGGTCAACAAAATCATCCAAGTAAAGATCAAGCACCCCATTTAGGAGGAGATAATCTCCATTCTTCTCAACTTCTATCTTCTAACTCAGTGCTAACTGGAGAAAATAACCGGTTGGATGCCTCTGCTTTATCTTCCTCCTCTTCTTCAACAGTTTCATTAGGTGGAGTTGAACTTGAGAATGCAAAGAAAGAGGAAAAGGTAGAGAGCCCGCCACACAAGGAAACGAAACCAAACAGTGAATCGACAGATAACGATAGCGTCCACGAACCACCTGTCCATCAAACAAATACAGTGAACTCTGACAGTACACACATCTCCCAAAACACGGTTCAGGAACAGTCACCTGAAACCTCACAGAGTTCTCAGGTTCAAAATGGTACAAACGATGCAGAGAGGAGCAACACAGAACCTCACGAGACTCCGGTCAAACAACCTTCTTCTACATCTCCCACTACTTCAGCTACGGAGAATACCAATGATACCAATACCTCAGCTAACACGAACAATGACACTCCCAATACAATCAGTAATGAGGAATCCACCACCACCACCACAACAACAACAACAACACTTTCTCCTGAACTCACAAACAACAAGAAGGGTGATGCAGACAGCAGCAGCAGTATCATCAGCAGTTCTGTGTGGGTGCGTGTACCACTACTGATTATGGTTACACTGGCCTGTATTCTTGTGTGCTGATTGTAATGGTGGTGTGGTGTGACTCAGATCACCCTTTGTTTTCTTTTTCTTTTTTGCATGCATCCCTACAGTCTAACTAATCTTCCACCTGCTGGGATTTCTCTTCTTTTTTTGCTTCTTAATGTTATTGTGTTTTGTGTGTGTGTTTTTGCTCTCTCTGTGTTTATCCTATAATAATTATTATTGCTGCTCCATTGTGTGTGTGTGTGTTCTTGGAGACTCTCTCTGTGTGTGTGTACCTGGGCTTGCACTATTATGATGAACTGCTTTTTGCAGTGGTAAAAGGAAATAATAATAACAGATGAATATTTATATTTATAATTGCATATACATACACACACATAGACTTACACCTATAGTTGGTGAATTTCTGTGTTTACTGGGTAAATTGAGCACAAATATCTAATTTTCTTTGTTCGCTTCTTGTTTGCTTGTGGAGTCTTGGGTCGTTGTGTGTTTGGACCTGCAGCGTTGTGGTATTCTGCTCTTTGCAGATAGAAAAGAAATAATAATTGTTACACATACAATTCTGTGTTTGCTATATGATGACAACTCATTCGAGAGCAATATATTTCTCTGTTTTATGCTCTTGATGATCGTACTTTTAATTTCTTTTTTTTTCTGTTTCGGCTTACTTAGGGTTTTCTTTTTAATACTTGGCATTCCGTGGTTATTCCTTCGTTTATTACTTTATTGGAAAACTATCTGAGTATAGTGTTGTTTGCATATATTATTATGTCTGACTAGTGCTTCTTGTTGTGTTTGTCCACTAGTATGTCTTTACATGTTCGTATTTTATTTTATTTTTTATTTCTGCTATATAATCTTTTTTTTCTTTGCCAGTTAAACTATACAAGAGAATAACAAATATATCTGTTGTCACGATGGTTCTGCGCCGTGTGTTGTGTTTATTGTCTTTGCTTCTTAGTATTGCCTGTGTATGTGTGATGGCTGAAGAGGCTGAATCAACCGTACTTTCTCCTCCTGTTCGAACTGATCCTGCTGTTAGTTCTTCATGCCCTCCTGGAGGTGCTGCAGATTCTGGTTGTACCGTTGAATCTACAGAGGTTCATACTTCTGGTGGAGTAGGTGGAACAGGAGCTTCTGGAGGAATTGTTGGTACTAAAGTCGTCGTTAAAGAAGAAGATCCTGGTGATGGCGATAAGTCCCTCGGTAAATCAAAAGTAGATCATGAAGTAGAAAGTGTACAAGAATTGACAGGTTCACCAGGGGGACTTCAACAAAACATGCAAGCCACGATGAATCAAGAAAAAGGACCTCTGCTGCCACAACCTTCTGCAAAACAACTATCTCCTGAAAGGGAAAAAGGTCCAGCTGGAACTCAAGTCCCTCCACAATCCCCAAGTGTAGCAATAAGTGCTCCTTCTTCTCCTCAAGCATCCAATTCATTACAACCTTCTACAACAGAAGTAGTGGATGGCGTATCTTCGTTAGAAAGTAAGAATGAGAAAAGTGACAATGGTGATGGTGAAGGGGCGGCGGTTTCACAGGCTCAACAGCAAGTAGCTGAGAGATCAGGAGCAGAAACTCAACCTGGATCCACTTCTGACAATCAACAGAATGCAGTTGACTCTCGTACTTCACAGAACTCCAATGCCCAAAGTGTGGTTCATGAGTCTGAAAATGCACAGAGCACTACCAACGAAAATGGTTCAGAAGGTACACAAGATGCAGGCAGCAATAATACTGCACAGTCTAAAGAAAGTACAGACACACAATCTGAACCTGAGAATGCCACTACACCGAATAATAAGGAATCAACCACCACCACCACCACCACAACAACAACAACTCTTCCTCCTGAACCCACAAACAACAAGAAGGGTGATGCAGACAGCAGCAGCAG